TGACATGTGAGTCGCTTCTTCCTTGGCCAGCGCATCCTTGTACGTTTGTTATCCAGCCATGTGGAATGCTCTGCTTGCTCGGAAGTCTGCAGGGTAAACGCAGGCTTGGAAATTCAGTAGCCTTTTTGCATCCAAGTCTTCGTGCAAGTATAGCTAGGCGTGTAATTGGTCAGACTTGGCTTAGGCTACAGACGGGACAAGACCAGGTGGAAGGAGTCAGCTTCTTGATTCTTAAGCCAGGTATTCCGGCCACAACCGGACCTTATTGCACATCGATGCCATGGTGAGGAATGTATGGGCGAGCTATCACACGGGAACCCTGACGCTCAGCCTGTTTTGGATCCTCCCATGAGCTGAGGTCAGCCGTGCCAGGCCGGCATGTGGAGCGAAGTGATACACGGCCGCAACAGCTGGTCATAAAATTAATGGCAGTGTACTCTGAAAAGGGACAGCTACACAAGACACGCTTCAGCATTTTTTAGTATTGAAGTGTTTGCATTCGTTAATTATTGACTGCAGTTTTCAAGGATCGGCGCTGACCAGGATGTTTGTCAGAACTGCCCGGCCGGGCGCTTCAGTGGAGAGGCCAGTCTTCGCACTGATGCTGCCGCTTCAGAGCGGTTATGAGGAAATTTACATGCCTTCAACGGGCTGAGGGTTGTGTCATCCTTCATGCATTCACGAAGGAGGGATATGCTGTTTCTTTTTTTTGTTTGTACTGACCTTTCTTCTGTTCCACGTCTCTACTTTCCTGACCTGTGATTTTGCAGCAGCCCACGCACTGACATGACAAACCAATCACTACGACTGCAAAGCACATCTTGTAGATATGGTTCACGAGGGATCTGGTGGGGCCCAAATGCAAGCCTGAGAAAACAACAATGTACTATGCCAGCGATGCTCAGGAGTTGATATCTGAACTCAAAGCTCCTCTTCCTCTTTGCATTTCCAAGCCTCATGCTCTCAAAGCGTGTGGGAGCTCCCAAAACCCCCAAAATCCCAAAAGCAACCTTGACCTGGTGTTCTGGAGATCGGTGCATCTTCCCTCGACAGCTGCACTTTCTGCCCACGGGGATCGTGGAGTGACGTCGCAGGCCCAACGTATTCCAACGAGTTCAATCATGTGGTATCTTACGTTTTTTTTTTAGTTTGCCCGCACAAGACAGAGGTGAGAGCCTTGCTAAGCCAGCCCTTAGACCTGCCGTTTTAATCATCGAATGAACTACCACACCAGCCATGTGTGCAATAATCAGGGCATCCAAACTGAGCATGGCTTGGCAATCGGTCATATGCTTCTCGAACTGTTAGGATGTCTGAGTTTGTTGTGCCAGGACCACTGAGTGTTGAGCGAAGCCACAATAAAAGTTGACTCCACAATTTGCAGACTTCATAGTGGCTCAGACCCTAGTGTGTAACTAGTTGCCCGCTCGGTTTGCCTTCCTCAGAAGCTTTCGAAGTAAACGGCTTGCATGGTTCATGGATTTGGAAGGGAGCAGACTCAGACTGATTGGATGAGCCCTTACTCCCTCTGCTCAGTGCATGTCCTAGAGCAAGTTGCAGGCTGAAGCAGGAGCAAACACATTCCAGCCAGCATGGGCCAGATTTCATGGCGAAACAGAATCCAGTGACAAGAAAATAAGGAACGCGGGCGCAGAAGGGAAAACCGACAGAGTGACTGCAGATTTCAGTGTCTCAAATGAAGCCCCAAACTCTAAAATCAGAACGCCAAGCCCAAGTGTGGCCTGTGGCAGGAGCCACTAGCGTGAAGCAGTGCACCGGATGCCCTACCGGCACCTTCAGCGATGGCTTAGGGATCACAAGCAGGGAGAGCTGCGCAGAATGCCTCCCCGGCAGGCTGGGCTATGTTTTGGAGAAATTGTACTCAAGCGGGATAAGCAAATGATCCAAGCTGATCCGCACAGGTGGAATTCACTCACTGGTCAAAGCTCCCTCGACAACTGCACTGAGTGCCGGGCCAAGAGCAAAGCTTTTGGAAGGATTTGGGCTTGCATACCCCTGAGTTTTGGGTGCTTGCTTGAACCTTAGAGCATTTCTGAGCTTTTTTGAGAGTGTTATGAGCTGTTTCTTATTAGTACTACGGATTTAGCAGGAACGTGTTTCGGACCTTCAGACACAGAGTGCCGCGGCCGCATGTCCTTGTACTTCAGCCTAGGAAACAGTCAGATTGGTGCCGCCATGTAAGAGACAGCTCGCTGAAATATTTTTTTGGGCACGTCGAAGGCTTGACTTCATCGGCTTCGACATGACAAATGTATCAAAAACGCGCACTTCAACCCTTTCTTGAGTCTCCGCATGCACGCTCTGAACCTTCAACTTCTAAGCCTAGAACTGCGAGGTGCTTGCCCGGCACTTACAGCAATGTTTCTGCTGCAGCGAATGCGTCGACGTGGCTTGCCTGAAAATTTGTCGTGTGGTAGTTCAGCTGAACCTGCCGAAGTCCTGCCGCAGGCATCCCGGAAAGCATTTCCGAGGGCTTTAAGCAGATGTAAGACAAGCTTCAGGTGCCAGCCTTGCCCGGTGGGCACGTACCAGCCGATCAAGGCCAAATGGGATGCTTGTTTCAGGCAGACCTGGCCTGGAGAGAGGTCCAACATTTCCACCGTTTGGGGATATCAATTGTTTTTAACTAGTTTGGCCCATGCTGACCAGTCGACTTGCAACTTTGACTGGATACCACCCAGTGCAACATCCGAGAGCTAAACTTGGAGATGGGGTGCAACGGAAAGATGTGGATGCATTGCAAAACGTTCGAGAGCGAAAGAGACCAGGTGACCAGGTTATCTTTTCTGAAAGGAAGACTGACATGCAGAACATCGCAAACAAACAGCCCGGTGACATAATGTTCACTTCACATTAATAAATGCCCCCCCCCCGCCCCCTTCGATTGATCTATCTCCGTCCCGGGGGACCCCCGGAATAATAATGCCAG